TGACTTGTAGGTGGTTTTATTTGTATATCCGAAATTATATTTATTTTTCGTGGTAAATCTTCGATAAAAGGTTCTGGGGCTAAATTAGCTAAGTTTTGGTCATTTATAATAAAATCTCTAATAATTTCGTCGCTGTCTCCTAAGTTGTTATCAATAGATTCGGTTTCTACTGCGTTACAGTTAATAGAATTTTCCGAAAAAGCGTCAGTTTTGGTAAAATTTTCTTTTAAATTTTCGTTTGCATAAAAATTATTTTTTTTGTGTTTTTCGATACTTTAGAGGAATTTCGAAAATTGGTCCTCTTAATTTGCTATTTGTTAAATCAATAAATGTTTTCAGATTTATTAAATCTTTCATTCCGATTACACCGTCGAAAAATTCGTGGAATTCAAGAAAAATAAAGTCTATTTTGTAGTTAGTTCTTAATTCTGAGAAAGCAGGGATTCTCGCTTGAAAGTGAGTGTTTTTTCTTCCCACGGCGGTTTTAATTGCATTATTCTCGCGATATATGCATTGAGGATAATATTTCTCGGCAATGCTTGGTCTTAATATTCTTTTCTTTTTAGAACAAATCTTTATTAAACCAACAAACTATTACAGTTTACAAAGATTTCTCCTATAACTAAACAACGTATAAATAATTAACTAAATGTAAGGTACAAGTCTTTTAGTGCTAGTAAGATCTTAAATATCACAAATGCAGCATGTGAGCGAGCAATAGGACAACTAAGTAACCTATTATTAAAATATGCTTTTCTTTAAAAAAGATCTAAATATAAATTAAATATTATTTAAATATAGATCTTGAACTACCGGTGTCGATTAAATTATTTGGATTTAATATTTCGATACACGGTAATGAATTACTTGATGTGATATTAATTTCTATCAAGTTTGGGATTTTGTTGGGCCTGGTATTCCAAAATTTTGATTTTCGGCAATATTTTTGGTGTCATAATTTTGTGAAAAATTTTGATTTTGCTCGTAAAATTCAGTGTCATCTTGGATTTGATTTTGATTATAAGATTCATTATACGATTCTGGATCGATGTACTGATACTCATAACGAGATTGATACTGTTCGTTATAATCTGGGTTATAATACGAATAAGAAGTTTCTTCTTCATATTCATTATTATGAAGTTCCTCAAAAATGAAATCTGGTTTTTGATTGGGGTTTGGATTATGGAAATAATTAAAATTATTTCTGAAAGGTTGTTGTATCGGTTGTTGTTTAGAACAACCGTTACCGTTTTTTACACTTATTGACATAGGTGTAGGCTTTGTCATTTGACTAGGTGGTATTGGTTTTGGTTTGAAGACATTTTGGTTTTGGGGTGGTCCAAAGACTTCTAAATTAGTTGGGTATCTTTTAGGTTGTTGAGGTCTCGTTTGAAAGTTAATTGGTTGTGATGGCCATTGATATTTATTTTGGAGATTAAAATTATTAAGTTGATTATTTGGGTTGTTAAAATTTGGTTGATTAAAATTGGGTTGATTAAAATTCGGTTGATTGAAATTTTGTTGTTTGTTAAAATGATTATTTTGAGAATGATTTAAATGTCCATAAAGAGATTCAAAATTCTCAAACTCTACCACATAAGCCATTGCATCTTCTAGCGATTCTAAATTTTTTAGATGCATATTATTTTTTAAAATTTCGGTACATCCGGCTATAAGGGTGTTTAATGCTGTTTTTTCATAATAGCTTATATGACATAGTTTTTCGTTTTCATTTAAATGTGTCATTACTTATTCGTTGCGCTACGTTGCTACGAAGTAATTGTAAACGATTTCCAAATTGTAAAAGATGTTCATTTTTTTGTGGTTTGGCTCGTGTGAGCTCTTGTACTAAACAATCGGTATTTCGTCTGTCTGAAAAACATTGTAACAAGACGTTTTTCATTGCGTTCCATGTTCTAATTTCTGATCGATTTCCGACCATAAATTCCGCTTTGCCCGTTAGCTTTTCTTGTAAACAGTCAAATATGTGTGAGTCTAATTCGGCGTTTCTTAATGCAGAATATGTGTCTACAAGTTTTGTACATTTTAAAATAAATTTATTTAGTGTATTGCTATCACCGTCAAAAGATTTGATATTGTCTAACCTTGATTTAAATAGATGCCAATCGATAGCAATTTGACCTTGATTTTCATTAGGCATTTTTCTTGTTCTTTCTAAATTGAATTTAAGAGTTTTAAATGATTCTACAAGTTTATCTATCTCTGACATAAAATTTCTTTAATAATTTTTCTGCGTCACCTCGCATTGTATCGTTTGTCACTTGAATTATTTAGATGTTAAAAATAATAGAGTTGTTAAAAATAATTATTACTCTGTGTCACTTAAATTGTTTATATATTAAAAGTAAATTTTTCTTTTTTCAGAAAAACAAAAGTTTATTCAAAAAAGTAAAAATTCTTTTTAGAATGTTTGTTCGTATTCTCCGTCAATGATTACTACTCTCCCGTCTTCAAAAACAATTATTAAAATAATGTTTAATTTTATTGTTCTCATAACATTAAACAATATTCTTTTCAATGAATTTTAATTCAAACTTGCGACTTTGATTCAAAATTTTATGAATTAAATCTTTGAAAATATTTTGAAATTATAGCTCTAATTCAAACTTGCGTCTTTGATAATATTTTTCCTGGCGTAAAAATTAATTCAGTTTATTGATTAATTTTTTTTTATTAGTTTATTTTACTTTCTATTTTCTCTGAAATAGCTTTCGTTTTGTTTTCTCTTTTCTTATTTCTACTTGTTTTTGCCTTCTATAGGCTGAACTAAATCTAATTTGCCCTAACTATTCCTATTGACGGCCTTAGAGAGAGGATCAATAGGGTAAAAGGAAATGGCACTAACCTTAGATTTTTCCAGTCCCTTTCCGACCCCTTGCTAGTAATGATTGCTGCTGCGTCTTCTTCTTCGTCTAGGTTCTTTTCGGATCACACTGGCGGATTTGAAAACCCGAGTAAGATTCTCTCGATATACAGTCGAATTTTTAAAGAAAGCACTACCGTGTAATCCTACCGACTGCGCCACTTAAATCGTTCGACGGCAGAAGTTCGTTTTTAAAAATTTATTTATTTTCAAAAACTTAGAAGCTACTGTACAGTACGACAACAGAACAAGGAATTATTTATTAATACAATATGATTTAAAATGTAATCTACGTTTCCCACGATCTTGCTGAATTGTAATATCTATTCCTGGGATCAGAGTGATGATGCGCCGGTTCTCACGGGAATGATCACATAACTACGGAGAAATTTTTGGTCAAATTTTTAAAGTTCTATATTTTTGTTATTTTTAGCCCTATTTTCATGAATTTTTTAGCAAGCTGTAAAATTAACAATGCAAAATTTATTTGATTTTAAAGTAGAAGCATGAAAATTGGACTTTTTCCAAAGAATTGTAAAAAAGTAAAATAATAATATTTATTCGGAATTTTTGAACTTTTAAGGATGGTTTTTGTTCAGAATGCGCAACTTTGCCTTTATTTAAACGACCGCATATCTCTTCTACATTTCGAGATCCCAGTGAGGATTATAATTAATATCATCTTTTATTCGTAAACTCAGTTATTTATGAACTTTAGTATTCGACATATTATACAGGGTTAATCGAGGTGCTGTTTTGTACCCTAACTTTAAAACAACCTGTGTAATAATTTCGTGTGTAAATTTTCCTAAAAAAAAGTTTTACGGTTAGAACCATGTCTCCTGAGCATTTTGTTTTTTGGATCTCCGTTAACGTTACATTTAGTATAGAGTACCCAATGCAGTGTAATATGACGTTACGACAATAGTCACTAAAACCATCTCGTCATATTAAAAAATTACAACAAAAAGTAATGATAATTAAAAAAATCGCAAATTGATCGTTATCAGTTCATTTCGCTCTTAAACATGAATCAAAAAACAAATTGTTCAGGAGTCATGGTTCTAACCGTAAAATTATTTTTTAGGAAAATTTACAGACGAAATTATTGCACAGGGTGTTTTAAAGTGAAGGTAAAAAAAACAACTCCTCGATTAACCCTGTATAATATGCGAAATACTAAAGTTTATAAAAAGCTGAGTTTACGAATTAAAGTTGATATAATTATATACAGCTTGCTAAAAATTCATGAAAATAGAGCCAAAAATAACAAAAATATAACACTTTAAATTTGCCCAAAAATTTCTCCGTTGTGTTTTTTGCATCTGAGTGCAGCTATATTATTTCATTTTTTATTTCAGTTTAATAACTATCTAGTCAACATATTTAATTTGTGTCAATGATGACATAAATATATTGATTATTTCGATTCTAAATATCTCAAGAACCATTAAGTTTGATTTTCATGCATCCGTTGGCCGACGATACGTTGATACGATATTAATTTTATTGGTTGAATTTAAAGGCTTCGATTGGTTAACAGTTTCTAACCAATCGAAGTCTTTAAATTCAACCAATAAAATTAATATCGTACCATCGTATCGTCGGATAACGGATGCATGAAAATCAAACTTTACTCGGTAGTGATTTTTGCCAAGTTACCTTTTTTACTTAAAAAACTGCGGAAATTACATTGTACATTTTTTACTCAGTAGTTGTATACCAAATAAAACCAAACCAAACCCCTTAAAAATATGTGCCCTCTAAAAGTAAGAATCATATTGACATCAAAATCAAATGTCTCATGCCAAAAAACTCCAGACATAATGTTCAGCCAAATATCGACGTTAGCGCAGAAATTATTTGAAAAAAATCGAAATAAAAATGAAACTTCTACACCTTGTATCTCCGAATCTAAGCATTTTAGGACACATGTTTATTAACTTATTTTTCTCTGTAGAATATGTTGCCAAAGTTTCCCGAATACAATTCGGACCACCCTGTATATTTACATTTTGATAATTACTTAAGTCTTAACTTGCAGGTCTAGTAAAAAAGTGAAGAAAATTCTACATTAAAAAATAAACCCAAAGTAACTGGGAAGTATTCTTACTTGGTCGTCCAATTGTAGCTCTGTAAAAGCTGGAATGTATTTAGCCCATTCAACTAGAATCAGTAGTTGCTGTTTCATCGAATCACATACGTCGTTTAGGCTAGCCTGCTGCCTTCCCGACAGGTCATAATCATTAACAGGGTTCGAACCAATTTGCTGCAAAAAAATACAACAAATAAAACATATTATTACCAAATTCTATATTTTTGTTCAATATGACGAAGATTTTTATCAACAATTAGGCGGATGTGCCATCAACCGTTGCATAATTAATTTTAGAACATGTAGAGGAAAACGTCATAACAAATCTAAATTTTAAACGAATTTAAAACCATACGATTACGTACTTTGATTACTATTACTACTCATAGTAGGTATTTATCATTTGTCGTCATGGGTCGTACTTATACGTATACCTAATATGTATAGTATTGTATTGTAAAAATGTAATCAAATTCGAATTCTATGAAAACATAATAGTCGAATAATAGTTTCTAGGGTATTTGCACAAGGTATTGCATTTACACAAGGGGTCGTGCTTAACTTTTTTTAATTTTAGTTAAATTTTCAAACTATATTATTAGATTTTGTTTTATTATGTTAATGTATAAATGCTTTCTTCGTATAAAGTCGCTTTATATTAATTTAAATTATGTAACGTACACATTTAAAATTAAAAGATTATGACATATTGATATGTCAGTTGCTGTCTAAAATGACATCTTCGTAACAAAAAGTTAATTCATAGATAAAGGAAATAAATTTAGATTGGAAAGCCCGTCAAAATAATTGATTTGGGTCGCGACCGTTGTACGTAATCTGGCGCTGCTATAGCCGTTGCTATAATGTTGCTAAGAACAACCGCCAAACAACAACAGAAATACTTTTCTCTTGTCAAAGTCAGAATCTTCAAAAATTATAAAATCTTTGAAAATTTAAACCGCCCTCATTGAAAAAATGCCGAAAAGTGTTTAAATCGTCCATTCTCAAGGTAATTATTGGTATCTTGTAAGTTTAATTTAAATTTTATTTACTCAAACCCGTGATACTTGTGAAAAAGTGGCATTAAAAACTTAAAAAGCTGTGTTGTGTTGTCTAAAACCTGTCTCTGTTCGCGGCCGCTGTCTCCCGGTCGGGACTTAATATCTAACCGACACTTTTCTACAAGTCGGAATTAACTATCTCTGCGCTGTGGTTGTCATTTTGTGGATCTGCCCAAGTTCACCTGATGATGGAGTAGGGCTCCGAAACCGGTAGTGAGAGCAGCTTGATCCACATTATGACAAACACAGCGTAGAATTAAATTTCTATATCAGCAGTTAAGTGGCAAGAATCCTTATATAATTTTATTATATACCTATACTGCAAGAAATTTGTTTTCTATTTTATTATTAGTAATTAGACAATTCTATTATATTTTATATTACTTCAAAAAGAAAAAAATTATAGGGCAATTTTGATATGGTTCAAACCAAAAAAATGATGTTATATTTTTTAGTTTTCGTTTTCAGCCATGGAAGTTTCAATACTTTTAGCAAAGTTTTAGAGAGTCGGATATTTTTATTTGTGAAAACGAAATGTTGCGTTTGTATTGCAAGACTAAAAGTGGCAGTTTTATTGTAATGTAAGTAAGCGTTTATCCATTTTATATTTTGCTTTTTTTATATCTACAACAAATATACATACCGGGTGCCTCTCGAAAGTGGCTCACCCCTATAACTTTTTTATTTTTTCAGATAAAAAACGAGATTTGGTTATGTTAGTATATGACATAAACTAGGATTAATTGACGTATTCAACCTTTGATCCAATAAAGTAAAAAATACCGAGGGTGCCATTTAAAAATCAAAAGTTGTAGTCATTTCCGGTGAAACAGGAAGTGGCCGAAAACAATTGAATACGGGAATCAATTCTAATTTATGTCATATACTAACATACCAAATCTCGTTTTTTATCTAAAAAAAAATAAATAGGGGTGAGCTACTTTTGAGACGCACCCGGTATATTCGCTCGTCGCACCCGGAAATTTATAGTATAGTATTATTTATATAAAATATATAGTTCGTTTTATTTAAAGAATGTTAGAAAACAAGCCTGTAATTGACATAATTGTTATGTAATATATTCCATTTAAATGTAATATATTACTTTATAGTTAAAATAATAAAAGTTTTAAAAATATATTAAAAATACAGCTATTAATTGAAATGTTTAGTATGCAAACAAATACGAGAGGCGCTTTATTTACTTTCATTTCATCTTTCAACACGACAGATGAAATTCTAAAGGGGAATGTTTTCTGGTAACGAGTAACGTATTTATAACTGTTACGGTTAAGGTCCGATATTCGGTTAATATCGACATTACCCGGTTAATCTCGAGAATAACACAAAATAAAACAACCAAAAACATAACCAAACCCAAACATTAACCTGTTAATGTCGACATTAACCGAACATCGGACTTTAACCGTAACATAACCATATGATTACTTTGATTACTATAACTACTTATAATAGTACTTATCATTTAATTTATATAATGGGCCGTACGTCTATAAAGGGGGTGTATGGGGTTGTGCTGGAGAGGTAGTACTTTTCATCAAGGACGGTGGCACTCAGCGATCTGATCGTTGAGTGGTCGGCGATGACTAGTCCTCAGAGGACACCCAGCTCTCACTTTATGGCTCCACGTGCCACACCCCGGTAAACCGCATCCACCTGCGGGCTAAACTAAGTGAGAGTAGCCAGATATGGCGAAATCGCAGCGTCTGACTCAGAATGAGCGGCTGCAAATAGCGTCTGACCCAGAATGGGCGGCTGAATCACATACTCACCAAGACGTCTTGCCAACGTGGTGTTTAATGGCTAAATACCCCCTATGAACATGCCAACTGTAAAAACAAGATTACCCCAGGCGAGTAGAAATAAAAATTCGGAATCTCGCATTGATGTTAAATCAGTCTGTCCCACGGATTCTGTGGGGGACAAACATTTGGCGAAGTGAAAGACAAACTCTACGATGTATGTTGCCACATACAATGCACGATCGCTGTTGTCAGAAGAACGATTGACAGAACTCGAATATGAACTCGATCACATCAAGTGGGATGTGGTTGGCCTCTGCGAAATCAGAAGGCGTGGCGAACACTTAGTTAACTTGAAATCCGGACACAGCTTCTACTTCGTGGGGGACGAGAGTAGCTCTTTTGGTGGAACCGGCTTTCTAATACACAAACGACATAGGCAAAACATCGTGTCTCTCAAGAAAATCTCAAACAGGGTTGTATATCTGGTTCTCAGGCTCAACACCAGATATGAAATCAAGATCATTCAGGTCTACGCACCGACCACCGATCATCCCGATGAAGAGGTGGATATATTCTATGACGATGTGGATTTTGCTCTTAAAGACGAACGAACACACTTTACTATTTTGTGCGGAGACTTTAATGCCAAAATGGGAAGAAAGTCCGATCCTACGGAGACTTCACTGGGGGGTTTCGGTCTGGGGGACAGAAATGAGCGTGGGGAAACACTGCTCGGTTTCTTACTGCAAAACAACTTGTTTCAAATGAATAGTTTCTTTCAAAAAAGGTCTGCTAGAAAATGGACATGGAAAAGCCCGGACGGGCGAACTAAGAATGAAATAGACTTCATCATTACCGATAAAAGGCATATAGTTAAAGACCTGACGGTGTTGAATAAACTAACCACAGGAAGCGACCATCGACTAGTGCGAGCCAGAATTGAACTTAACACAGGAAAAGAACGCCTTAAAATGATTAAAAAGGCTGGTAGTAGATCATGGACAAAGCCGGCAGATTTAGAAGGTTTCCAGCGCTGTATCACAGAACAGCTACAGGATTACACGCAGGAGAACAGTATTGACGGTTTAAACGAAAACATCACAAATGCGTTGTTAGAGAGTCAAAACAGGTACTGCCCCAAGACACAAAGAGAAGAAAACTCAGTAAATCTACCAAGAGACTTATGGATAAAAGACGGGCCATGAGAAGTGAACAGCTGACTACTGTCGACGAATTAAGAGATATAAACAAACAGATATCAAAGGCCATTAGGCGCGACCTCAGAACATTTAATCAAAACGAGATTCGACGGACAATAGAAAATAACAAAAGCATGAAAGTGCTACGAAAGAGTCTTCAAAGCGGAACAGCTGGAATAACAAAAATCAGAGACCATCAGGGATATATCACGACCAACAGGGAGGAGATCTTAAAGATAGTTGAGGACTTTTATAGACTGCTGTACCGAAGTCGGGGGGAAGGGACACAGGATTCAGAAGTCGAACCAGAGATATTGACATGGACAAAGGGCATCGTAAATCAAGGGTCAGAAACACTACCAGATATCACACTTGAAGAAATGGAACTAGCCTTAAGGAACACCAAGAATAATAAATCTCCCGGCGAGGATTGTGTGGTCGCAGATGCAATTAAGATTGGTGGTGAATGTTTGCTTCAGAAGATTGTGGATCTTTTCAACCTTTGCCTTTTTGATGGTACTCTGCCTGGGAAGTGGTACAATGCTGTAGTAATACTACTTCACAAAAAGGGGGACATAGCAGATCTAGAAAACTATAGACCGATAAGTCTGCTTAGCCACCTTTATAAACTGTTTACGAGGATAATAACAACACGACTCGAGAAGAAATTGGATTTTTACCAACCGATAGAGCAAGCGGGTTTCCGTGCAGGGTTCGGAACCAATGACCATCTCCAGAGTATTAAAATTATAATAGAAAAATCCATTGAATACAACAGGCCGCTTGTACTTGCTTTTGTCGATTTCCAGAAAGCTTTCGATACAGTAGAAATGGATGCAGTGATAAGGTCCTTGCAAGAATGTCGGGTGGACTATAGATACACAAGGCTTATTTACAATATCTATAAAAACGCCTCGATGACGGTAAAACTACACGAGAACACTAAAACCATACCGATAGGCAGGGGCGTTCGTCAAGGAGATACTATATCACCGAAATTATTTACCGCCGTTTTGGAGAGTGCCTTTAAAAAACTCGACTGGGAGGGGAAGGGACTGATGATTGATGGCAAGAACCTCACAAATTTGCGTTTTGCTGATGACATTGTTTTATTATCCGACAACCTAAGGGATACTGAAGTGATGCTCCGAGAATTGCGGGAGGTGTGTATCGGGGTTGGTCTGAAGATCAACTTCTCAAAAACCAAATTCATGACCAACCTGGTTCCCAGTGGAAATATTGTTGTGGGTGACAGTGAGGTGGAGCTTGTGGATAGGTATAACTACCTGGGACACGAGATACAGATCACAAGAGACAATCAGACATGCGAACTGAAGAGACGTATAACCCTGTCTTGGGCCGCCTATGGAAAGTTAAAAGATGTGTTTAAGGGCGACCAGCCAATCTGCCTAAAACGAAAGGTTTTCAACCAATGTGTACTACCGGTTATGACGTATGGAGCTGAGACCTTGACACTGACCATCGCATCTGCTAAGAGGCTCAGAGTGGCACAGCGACGAATGGAAAGATCAATGCTTGGAGTGTCTTTGCGGGATCATATAAGCAACGAGGATATACGTGCGAGAACAGGCGTCATCGACGTTGTGTCACGAATCGCTACACTCAAGTGGAAGTGGGCTGGACATGTGGCTCGAGTGACCGATGGTAGGTGGACCAAAACACTCTCGAATGGAGACCGAGAGCTGACAAAAGAAACCAGGGAAGACCACCAACACGATGGACTGACGACATAAAAAGGATCACCAATAACTGGATCCAGAGCGCACAAAATAGGCAACAGTGGGCGCAAATGGGGGAGGCCTATGTCCAGCAGTGGACGCAAAGGGCTGGTTGATGATGATGATGACGTCTAGAAAAACAATAATAGAATGTCTGGCCATGTCTGCCCAAAAGGGCCAAGCCTAAAAATGTCTAGTCATGTGAAGGTACTGTAGCCAGCAGTGCACTTACCTGCTATCGTAATGCGTAAACGGTACAGTCGGTAGCACCAGCTGTCCGCTGACCTAACCAACCTAACATCCCATCTTTCTCTCCTCTTTCCCAAAATATCATTAACCTTAAACTTTATCCTTCTTATTTCCTATTATCATCTTTCCCAAAACCTGACACTTAGATATAAAACGCACAAACCAACAAAAATTGGAGATTTGATGATACTCACAAAATGCAATGAAAATGGCGAGCCGGGGCAGTAGGACCCAGGTCGGAACCGTCGTCGTCGGGAGGATAGGCCTGCACTGACCATTAGCAACGAAAAGGGTCAACGAGATCACACAGATGAAACTGCAGAATTGGACCATGCACAACAACCGACCAATTGTGGTCACCCAGGATGAAAATGCTGTCGAGGTTATACCAAATCCACGACATCACAGGGCAGACAAAGGCAACGCACTATGTGGTTAGATGATACTAACGCTTTTATAGTGCGCTGCTATTATAGAATAACCTGACTTGAAATAGCTAAGATACCTTTCTCCAAAGAACTACATAGAGAAGTCTTAGAAAAATATCCAGACCTACGAAACAAACCTGTCCAAAACATAATCGATCAACGTAGATCAATCTTTGTTAAAAACAGACTACTGGACTATGGTCTGGATGACTCCATAGAATGAATTAAAAAGTACTCTGTACAGCTTTCAGTAAACAAAGCTGGTTTTGTCAACAAAAGCTGTGTTTATTATGCGCACAAAACCTCCCATGCTACAGCAGTGGCGTGCTGTAGGTATCTATTAGTATATTTAAATCTAAGATTACACTTTATCATTTTAAATTAAAAATACTTTTTAATGCAGTGATGCCGAGAGTACTCACTTCGAGTGCTGCTCCAACTTGTCTCGATAACATCTCGGCGTTTAACAAGGAACTGACAGACAGTCCGTTGTTTTGATTATTTTCTTCGTAGCTGGGTCTCCGACAACTTATCCTATCTCTTTCATTTTGAACGGCTGAAACAATAGGAATAAGAAAATTAATAAAGAATAATCAATTGCAAGGCTCAAGCTATATGCTGTAGAGTAAGAAACTGTTAAATAAAAGTAGCAATTTGCAGTTTTATATATAATTATTTGCAATTTAGATATAAACTGACTGACTAAACCATGAATGGCACAGCGATCCTTATATTTCATATAGTATGTCAAAATTTATAGTCAGAATGTCCTAAATTTCCTCCATTCCTATATAAATTTTATATTATATTAGCTGATACCTGCCCACTTCACAGTGCACTAACATTTGGATAGATACGACATATTTCTTGATATATCTTGCAATGTTGATATACCGTGCGAGTCTCTGTTTCAGTCAACCTAAGTTCAACAGTCCCAGAAAATGAAAAAAACGCGGGCAATTTAATTGTGAAAAAATCACCTCATAAAACACCATAGCCTAGACGCGAAAATATCATTAACTGTAAAATTCACATTCACAGATTGTTTTCTTATATAATTTTTTTGGGATATAAGATATTTTTTTGTACAGGGCGAATAAAAATCACTATATTGTCTTGTTTAAAATAAACATTTGGTCAATGGATAAATCAAGCCATGTTTTTAGGTAGAACGATAACTATTATTTGGGTATGTTATGTACAAGTTATTCAAATAGCAACAAATATTCGCACAATTCTCCATAAAATTTCCCATAAAGCACTCCATATAATTTTAGCGAAGGCGGATTGGTTTCATAATAGCAATAATAATAATAATGTCTTTATTTATTTAAGACCCAGCTCTGTGCAAGCAATAAAGTCCAAGCTACAAACACATTTGTAATGCCAACGGTAACATATAGCTTTGGAATCATTAAATGGACCCATACCAGAACTGGACGAACTAAACAGGTCTGTTAGAACCACTTATACAAAATATCGATCCCATCATCCAAAAGCATGTATAGAACGTTTCCATCTTCCAAGAGATATAGGGGGGCGAGGCGTCATGGATCTGCGACTACAATATGAGAAACAAATTAAAAACCTACGAACGTACTTCCACACGATAGCATCAACATCAAGCATCTATGATAAGTAAAACAGACAAAAAATTGACGCCTCTGAATCTTAGTGATAAATATATGAATATAGATGCTGGTTACACAATAACCCTGCAAAAAAGCAAGTGGCAAGGAAAAGCATCCATAAGCCAGCTTCAGTAGCATGGCTGACACACGGAACAATTTTCCCAGAGACAGAGGGATTTATGTGTGCAATTCAAGACCAAGTAATAGCCACAAGATCATACCTAAAATATATAATAAAGGACCCCACAATTAAAACGACTGTATGCGGCATGTGCGGAGAAGGAAACGAAAATATAGAACACATTATTAGTAGTTGTACAAGCTAGCTTCAAGAGAATATACCGACAGACATAACAACGTAGCAAAAATAATACATACAGAACTTGGTTTGAAGTATAAATGCATTAACGAGCGTATTCCATATTATAATTATGTCCCAATGAACGTCCTAGAGAATGATGCATGTAAATTATACTGGGATAGAGAAATATTAACAGATCGGACAGTGCAGCACAACCGACCAGACATATGTCTGCTGGACAAACTCAAAAAAGAAATATATCTTATTGATATCGCTGTCCCTGCCTCGACAAATGTCAACCGAAAACATCAAGAAAAGATCGACAAGTATACCTTATTAGCACAGGATATGAGAGAAGTCTGGGGAGTAGATAAGGTGTCAGTGGTTCCTATAGTGATTGGATCAACTGGAAAAATCATCATCAGTTATCCTCGCAACATAAACATAATGAGAAAAGTATTAAACTTGAGAAGAAAGCTAAAAACTATTGTCTTGCCCCTTGGGGCCGACAAATAGATTTACTTACCGTGTAACTTGAAAAAAATGTCTTTATTTAATAATTAAATGGGCGAATATTTAATAATTTAATAGGGCTAAAAAGCCATTCACACTTTTGTGATTTACTCTACAGTCTGTTGCATCGCCGACCTGGACATATGAAATCCCATGTAAATTTTAAAAATGATGAATAAGTTTTCCCCACTTTATTTTACAAAAAAATGTATTTGGAACTTTTTAAAGAACTCCTTAAAATGAAGCATGTTCATTTTGCATGATTGGGACGAATTGGTCCTTGAGTTATGATAGATACAAAAATACTAACTTAATCAAAAAAATAATACGGTCCTGATTAGAATAACAAACATGCCACCTTCAAATTCAATCTTTTAATGTCAAATTGACTTTATTGTTGGCAAAAATAATTTTAAAGGGAATAATTTTTTTTAATGTCATATTGATTTTATACGTGCAAAATATAATTTGTAAATATGAATAACACAACTGAAGAAAAAAAGAATAGTTTCCTCCTGGGCAACAGCTTCAGCTGGCTGATCCTTTCACTCCAGAAGCATCAAAAGCGAAAAAGCGGAATACGATTAGTTTTCCCCTCATTTTGCATTGAAAAATGTACTACTCACCACAAAGGACCTTCTCAGGCCCAAAGATGACTATTATCTCTGTAAACATCGAGGGTTTATCCGCATGTAAGGAAGGGCTACTACAAGACCTATGCCAGCAATATAACTGTGATGTCCTATGCATTCAAGAGACCCACAGAGATAGTTATCAAAAGAGACCCACAATCCAAGGCACGCGACTTGCTGTCGAGAGGCCTCATAGACAATACGGAAGCGCAATCTTCATTAAGCCCGACGTACTCGTCCGGTCCACTGATATGGCTGAGGAAAATGACATAGATATATTAAGAGTAGAACTGCACAACTGCACTATTACCTCTATGTATAAGCCACCAAACACTGAAATTAGGGCCAACGAATTCTGTCCACTCGACGCAGACAAGAACGTTTCGTGGTGGGAGACTTCAATAGCCACAGCAGCCTATGGGGTTACCCTGACGACGACAGGAATGGGGAGGCCGTGATTCAGTGGGCAGATGCAAGCAACCTAACTCTCTTGCACGATAATAAATTAACAGCCTCTTCCCTATAATCCAGACTTGGTGTTTGTGAGCAATCGGATAAATCTTCAATGCGTCAAGGGAGTTTGCCCACCCATCCCAAATACACAACACCGGCCAATTATGTGTCAGGTTATGGCTATGTCTCGACCACATAGCATCCCTTTCAGGCGCAGATACAACTTCCAAAAAGCCAACTGGACCAAATTTCAGAAACTATTGGATAACGCTGCGGACACACTTGCGCTCGTCCCGAGCTCCTATGATAGCTTTGTGGACATCGTTAAAAAATGTTCACGACTCTCTATCCCTAGAGGGTGCAACACTCATTCTATCAAAGGCCTAACAACAGCGACAAAAGCCCAACTACAAAAATATCTAACCCATTTTGAAGCCAACCCCCTGGGGGAAGACACGATAGAGGCGGGCAAACAACTAATCACCTCTATATTCGAGGCCAAGAGAGAGAGTTGGATCAAGTTGATGGAGGAGCTTGATATGAGCGTAAGCAGTAACAAAGCGTGGAGACTATTAAAGCGTTTAAACAATGACCCAACTCTGTCAAGAGCTCATGCCAATGTAACAGCAGATCAAATAGCCACTCAGCTCGTAAAAAATGGCAAGCAAGACCAAATGCCCCCCAAGAAAGCAACCAGTATCAACCGAATAGAGGGTGAAGAAAAGTCCAATCTGTCCACTCCCTTTACCATGGAAGAGCTGAACATCGCCATAAAGAAATGCAAACCTCGGAAGGCCGCTGGTCCAGACGACATCCTCACTGAGCAGATCAAGCATTTCGGACCAAAAGCAAAACAGTGGCTATTGGACATGTTCAATGTCTGCCTACAACAGTGCAAACTCCCTAGTATCTGGAGAAAAGCCAAGATCATAGCGGTCCTCAAACCAGGCAAAGAATCTAATGACACAAAGAGCTACCGTCCGATATCGCTGCTGTGCCACAGGTATAAAATCTTTGAAAGATTATTATATAACCGCCTTTCACTTGCTGTGGATCGGATTCTCATACCGCAGCAGGCTGGATTTCGCCCTGAAAAAAGTTGTACGGCACAAGTGCCCAATCTAACTCAGCACATCGAAGACGGTTTCCAAGGGGGATATATAACGGGTGCCATTTTCATCGACCTCACAGCAGCATATGACACCATCAATCTCCGACTCCTGATGCAGAAGATATATCATACAACCAAAGATATTAATCTTACAAACATCATCAGGAACCTGCTCCAAAACCGGAGATTTCTGGTGGAGTTTCAGGGAAAACGAAGTAGGTGGCGAAACCAGAGAAATGGTCTTCCACAGGGAAGCGTGCTGGCACCACTACTCTTCAATATCTATACCAACGACCAACCCCTCCCTGAAGGCACAAAAAGCTATATATACGCAGACGATAGGGCAATTACATCACAGGGGAAAACATTCGAAGAGGTAGAACAACGTCTGAGTGCGGCCCTAGCACAATTGGATTTGTACTACCGACATAACCAGTTAAAGCCAAATCCAACAAAAACGCAGGTATGTGCCTTCCATCTTAAGAATAAGCAGGCCGGCAGAAAACTACAGATCGAATGGAAGGGAGTACCATTGGAGCACTGCCCTAACCCGAAATACCTGGGCGTAACACTGGATAGGGCATTAACATTCAAGCGACACTGCCTCAATACAAAACTTAAAGTGAGCGGAAGAAATAATATAATCCGCAAGCTGACAAGTTCTAACTGGGGAGCCCAACCTAAGGTTCTAAAAACGTCAGCACTCGCTCTGTCACTCTACCGGCGAGTATGCATGCCCGGTTTGGTATAGATCAGCGCACGCAAAACAAGTTGATGTCGCCCTCAATGAGACAAGCAGAATCATCACCGGATGCTTAAAGCCAACACCCCTGGACAAGATCCACCATCTAGCTGGCATCGCCCCTCCTGCCATCCGTAGAGAGGCAGCTGCACTCAAAGAACGATCCAAAGCAGCAGCAACTGAACGCCACCTACTCCACGGCATCCAACCCGCTCATCAGCGATTGAAATCAAGGCATAGCTTCCTGCGATCGACAGAAGACTACGAGGAACCTAGAACCAATGTGGACCTTTGGGAGAAGACCTCAAATCAACATTGGATGGAGCCGAAGGAACAATTGGCACCAGGAAGCGACGAAAACTGGGAAACTTGGAGAGCTCTTAACAGACTGCGTATGGGCACAGTGAGATCGAGAGACACTCTCAAGTGGGGCTAGCATGTGGACTCCAACCTCTGCGAATGTGGAGCACTACAAACCACCCAACATATGTATACTTGCCCACTGTGCCCCGCCAAGTGCACTATAGAGGACCTTATGGCAGCAAAGTCGAACGCAATTGACGTCGCCCGCTTCTGGGCAAAACATGTTTAGTTTCCCGTCTCAAATGATGTTTATACATGCTATGTTTGTTTTATATCTATGTTTTAATGTACTGTGGTTTCATGTATAACTTTTATGTTTGCAATTTTACTTATTATTATTATTATTATTATATGTAATTATTGTTGTTATTGTTGTTGTATGTGATATTATATGTATATGAAATGTAATCTTGATGATGCTTCTGACACGAATAAATAAAAATAAATTTAGGAAAAAGTCTACAGACTGTAAAGGTATTCTCTGTACATTTTCCAAATATGCCAAACCAGTTATTGAAAACTATAAATAATATAAGAGGAGAATATTCCAACACAGGTCATTTAAATATTACGAACACCAAGGAATAATTGGACGGGGGTGTACGTAAGGAAAATTTTATCTATTTTTTAATTATTAACAAGTACATAATTTTGTGATTTGTTTAGTGTTTAATAAATACATTTTCTTTTGAGGCAGAGGGTTTACTTATCAATGAAATATATTGGGTTTTTAAAAGATTCTCGTATGTTTACAGTGTACTTTTTGTAACTTTTCATAGAGAATATAACAGAATATTTTTGAAAGATCTCATAGAAGTCATAATAGATTTGTCATATTGTGACATAACTTGTGATTGGTATGTTTGTTTGATCAGAACCGGATTATATTTAATTTTCGCCAAATTTAGTATTTTTGTATCTCTCATAACTCAAAAAGGAATTCGTGTAAACCATTCAAAATGAACAATTTGCTTCATTTTAAGGAATCCTTTAAAACGTTTCAAGTACATTTTTCTGTAAAATAAAATGGGAAAAACTTATTCATCATTTTTAAATTTACATGGGATTTACTATGTCCAGGTCGGCGATGCAGGTCAACCGCTGTCCTGCGCAGTGATGCGAAATCTGAGAATTTTGCACTTAATTTGAGGTAAAAATAAATATAATAATTATTATTTAATTAACTACTCATACTATGTTTATTTTATGATTTTGCCAACTTTTGCCCTGCTTTGATTTGCACTGCATGTCACTAATTACTAAATTATTTTTATTCAATTTAGAAACTTTAGTCTCTACCCATATGGCGAAAATAATCTACAGTTTATTACTCTATAGCTAAAACATATAAGGTTCTACCTTCTTTTTTCATTCCAGCCTTAAAGCATTTCCGAAGTCTGCAATATCGACACTGGTTCCTTTTGTCTTTATCCACCACACAATTTCGGTTAAATCTGAAATAATAAAAAGCCAATTTAGAATTATGTAATAATATGCAACTTGTTCAATGAAAACAATATTTCTAATTTGTACGGAAAACAAAATAGACCAACAAATATTAATATGTAATCTTATAAATCTTTTACCTATAAATATAAAACAAAGTGAGGTTATAAATGGTGTATTATAACTCAAGAACGGCTGGACCGATTTTAATGATCTTTGATTTGTTGGATTTGTCTCCGCCTCGAAAGATAAAAATATAACTATTAAAATATACATTTTTATCAAAGCCACCTCATGATCGTTTGCCCTATATTTTACTATTGAAAGAGCCATATCTAATATAATACCACAAATATCTGCGAAACCGTTAAAAATTTAAAAATGCTTATACCGGGTGCGTCTCAAAAGTGGCTCACCCCTATAACTTTTTGATTTTTTCAGATAAAAAAACGAGATTTGGTATGTTAGTATATGACATAAATTAGGATTGACTGACGTATTCAATTCTTTTCGGCGACTTCCTGTTTCACCGGAAATGACTACAACTTTTGATTTTTAAATGGCACGACATTTTTATACTTTTTCGATAGAAAATGACACTCTGAATCGAATGACATATCATATGTCAACATTTGACATTTTCGCTTAAAACAAAATTGTATTTTAAATTTTAATCTAGAGTACCATGGCTGTGTTAAAAAGACTAATTTTTAATCAAAGAGCCTTGGAAAAATAGATTTGATTATTTAATGTTTTTAGTGTCTTGTCCTGGCCAGTTAAAAAATGTTTAAATCGTATTTTTAATAATATCTCAATTTGCTTTTTATCACATATTTGGAAAAATAAGTTTTTTGCGAATAATTTCGTACCACACACTTGGTATTTCGAGTCAAATTGTCGTTATGATTCGCATGTCGCAATTTAAACTTTGATACTTATTGGGACTAAACAGTAGAACTCACTGCCAGAATTTCTTTAAAAATTTCAAAATACTGACTCTTCCTTCCTTATTCAATTTTGAATCCGTTTGCTTAATCCGCAAGCACATATTCTCTATTTCGGAAAGGCCTTCTCACAACTATCCACTTAGGAATGCGGAGCACGATATTTGCCTGTCAACCCCGAGCTCAGAACTAGTTAAGTGCTCAATACTGTACAATGCCAAGAAAATGTACAATCATTTGCCTTCGAATATCAAGTCACTTTCATTCTTTCCCGCATTTTGCAAAGCTCTGAAATCATACTTACTGGAGAGAGCCTTATATGCGTTAAACGACTTTTTTGTTGATGTTTAATCATGACAACAATTTTGAATTTTAAAATTTTGATCATCTCACACACTGGCTAAAGGTCTAGTATTTAATATTTAATATTTTATAACTCTTGATTTTATGATATATAACATGATTTTATCCATTTGCAGCTTTCCTTTTGTAAAATTTTCTAGATACGCCTGTGTTCTGGAATGTCCATATATGTTTTATTTGTAATTTTATGACGTAAATTTTTTTGAATTGATTTGTATTGTATGACATTTTTTTTATTATTTGTATATTTGTTTTTGTGCTTTTTTGTTTTGTGAATGCTTTGTCGATGAAGCTGTTTTGGCTTTTTGTACAATAAAGCGTTGTTTTTTTTTAAATAAACCATATTCGAAAATGCCAAAAGTTGACATGTGATATGTGTGTTTGGTTTGGTTTGGTTAGGCAATATATTCAGAATGTCATTTTCTACCGAATAAAGTAACAAAATACGTAGGATGCCATTTAAAAATCAAATGTTATAGTAATTTTCGGCAAAACAGGAAGTGACCAAAAACAATTGAATACGTCAATCAATCCTAATTTATGTCATATACTAGCATACAAAATCTCGTTTTTTATCTGAAAAAATAAAAAAATTATAAGGGTGAGCCACTTTTGAGACGCACCCGGTATATTAATGCTGTATCTATTAGAACAATAATATAAGGGTATTGCATTTAAAACAATTGAGATAAACCATTTTAAATATTGCAGTATATATAATATGACCACGCCATAAACATATCTTTTGTTATCCATGGGGTTTAGGAAAATTTAGCTAAGTATTAATAAAGTTAAATTCACTTCAAGTTTTAACCTTGTTTTAACCACTTTTCGGATATACTATTTTTAACAAAAGTTTTAGTAAATAAGAAATAGCATGACAACACGGCACGGTGTTTCAAATAAAAATAGTGTACAAAATAGTATAAACAGAATTTTATGCTGAATCCAATTGGGTGGTCAAAAATGTTCTGTTTTAACAGAGAAACCTATTTCCTGACTAGATAAAGCAAAACCGACATAGATATCATGGGCTCGATTTCTGAGACACGTTTAATGAAATAACCCGCCTGTTGATATTTTCATTGAAAACTGAGAAACGGGACCTTTTTGAATTTTTTACCATTTTGAAAATTGCCAATAAATTTTTTCTGTAAAAACGTTCTTAAGGCACTTTTGTAATCACAATTCAGTGGCGTAGTCAGTTTTTTTCTATACTTGCTCTTCTTGTCGGAAATAATAAAAAATATAATTTTTTAAATGGAAATAACAGTTGGCTATAAACTTAAAAAAAATGCTGGTGTTTAACCCTTTATAACGATATGAAGTTATGGGTATCTATTTCCAAAACAGCCGCTACACTATCCCCGAAATATTTCGCAAAACATTTCTGGAAATAGTACGATAAATATAAGCCCTTGTTATAAAAATTAGTTTCCTCGTTTCCTGAAATAGATCGAGACCCCCATATTAACAATAAAAAACAAACAATCAATCACGGCGCGTCTCGATCAATTTCAGGAAACGTGGGAACTAATTTTTATTATCGTACTATTTTGTGAAATAGCACGAAGCAATCCAGGTCAAACGTTGTTTTGGCTTCAGAAAAATAAGTAAACATGGAAAAACTGATATGAAAACGGTTATTACCGATGGTAAATTAAATTGGCTATTCCTCGAAGGTTCCACAAGAATATTTAGTTTTAATCATTGTCTAATATTACAATATAGTAAAAAAATAAAGAACAGTGACTAACTAGCGGTCTACAGATCATCAATAAGGGATCCTCGGAGCCATCTAGTTAAAAGTGGTGCACTTCTAAAAACTCTGTGTTTTGAAGGGGAGTTAAACAAAATATCAAGTGTGCTATATTTTTGGAAATGTAATTTTAAGTTCTTTTCAATGAATTAAAAATATACAGAGTGTCCTAAATAAAAAATCAATTTTTCTATTGATAATTCTTAGATTATTAATTTAAAAAAAATATGTTTACACCATTAAATTTTACGTAAAAAGGTGCTTTGGAAACGTTTTCATAAAAAATTAAAAAAAAATCCATCCAACAAAGAAGTTACAGCGATTTTTTAAAAATGTACATTTTTGAAAAAACCCCGGTAACTCAACGTTAACAGATATCGATGTGCGGTTTTTCTCATCATATTTTTGATAAAAATTGAGCTCCAGACACCGATATTAGTTTTCAACTATCTTCTATAGAAAAGGGTGTTTTAACCATTAAAAGTGTCCAGTTTGACCTACCCTGTACAGGATTTGAAATTTATTTATTTACACGTGTCCAACTCAGTATATATAAAAAAATCAAGAAACACAAAAATATATATAAAATATACAAAACGGCTAAATTAATAAAAAAGGCACATCATACATTTAAAAAAAAAACATAGTCAAACAATCAACATAAATAGGAACAATACTTGTACAGAATTAGACAAACTACAAAAATATGTATAGTATATGCACACATCAGTTATATACAGGATATCCAGTACTTGGCACACTCCAGAGCGTTGGTATTTCCCTCCGCGAGATCACTCTGATAGCATATGTTTGGGAGATTTGGGCATATGAGAGGATGCCTCATATTTTGTTCCTCTCCGCATTCACAGGATACAGGTCCGTCAAGGTAGCCCCACTGGTTCATGTTTGTCTTGCATCTGTCAACTGGACTACGCAAACGGTTCAGACTTCTCCACACCGGCCATGCCTGTTCCGCACCAGGTGGTAGGCTCTCTTTTGGCCTTAGCACAAATTCATTTGGAGTTGTTGAAGTTGCTGACCACAACTCCAGTTTCTTAGTGGATGCCGTGCTGCTATCAAGTGGCTGGACGGCAGAAAGAAAGCTTTTTGCGGGATTTCAACCTGGGTCTAGCGGCGTGTTGTCCGAAGAGCGGGTGCCGGGTATCGGAAAGAGCTTGCTGTTTCTCTTTCATGCTGAAAACTTGTCTTCTTATGTGGGGTGGAGCTATCCCGCTGAGGAGGTGTAACTGTTGGGCCGATGTGGGTTTTAGGCATCCGGTGATTAGACGGCACGATTGGTTCAGTATCGAGTCTATCTTTTTGGCATGGCAGGAACGTTCCCAAACTGGGGCGGCATATTCGGCAACAGAATAACAGAGTGCAAGAGCAGTAGTTCATAGTGTTGTGGATTAGCCTCCCAGGTGGAGCTTGCCAGCTTTCTCAACAAGTTATTCCTTGTAGAGATCTTGGACCTAGTCTTCTCGACATGATGTTTAAATGACAGGGTGAGGTCTAATGTGACACCTAAATAAGTTGGCCGTGGGCAAAATATGAGTTGCTGGTCGTTCCAATTGTAAGAGTCTTGTTTTCCGTTAAAAATTGTTTATATTAAATTGTGTTATTTTAAGAAATAATATTTTATTTGAATCTCTAATTGACTTTTCTTGACCGCATGTATAAAATGTCGTTTCCTGGACGATGCGGTTTGCATTGTTGATGATTATTTAGACTGACGTCGCCATTTATCAAAAAATATTAAATTCAGATTATAATTGTGTGGAAAATATTTCTGGGACTGAATAGAAGGAATGAAGTATTATACAGGTGAGTGTATTTTGTTCACTCACGGGCATTACTGGGATTGTATGAGAGTAGTTTAATATTATTTAGTTAACAGTTATCACTGAGCTTTAGTAGTAGATAGAGAAGGTATTTTAGTATT